ACCAACCCCAAGATTAAGAACTCTTTGTTGTTGTTCCTTAAAATCAGCTCCCCACATTGTGGCCACTGAGAGAGTATCAGGTACAGAACTTCACGGAGCTGAAGATGTGGAAACCATCAGACTGGAGACAAGGGAGAAGCTCTTCATCGACGTACGTAAACCAGTGCATCTGGAGGTGTCCGCAGTACAGCCATTTCAGATCAGATACAAACCCTCCAAATCTTGCTGCCCAAAGCGTGAGGTCCTGTGGCCTCCCCTGGGGGCTGGTTAGAATGCAGAACCCTGGGCCCCACCCCAGACCCACTCACTGATCAGAATCTGCAGTTAGTAAGCTATCCCTGAGTTGCAGGGGGTCCATACATGCACCTTCAAGACTGAGAAGTACTGGTCCAAATGATTCCCCTTGAAATATGTCTACAAAACTATTTTTTGTTAATGGAGGTACTGGGGATTGAACCAGGATCTCATGCACACTAAGCAAGCATTCTGCCACTGAGCTCAACCCTCCCCCTGCAAAACTCTTGATTTGTTTTCCTCAAAGAAGTGGCACTGCAAAGTGGTTCTGTCTGGCTGGCCGTATGCAGAATTGTTGCGAAAGTAGCTTTTTATCATCAGAGCCTGTAATCCTCTCTGGACAGCTACCCACCTTCCTGGCCTGTTGCTGCTCCTGCCCCCTGGTGTGACTGTCTAGAATTGTGTTCCCCTGGGGCCGGCTCAGTAAGGGGCCACCTAACCCTGTGACTGATCATGGCCTTGAGAATAGCCCTCCTCTCTGAAGCTCTTCTAGTAACAGTCTTGCACACTTTGCCCACAGGAACAGGTTCCCTGGGAATGCACACTTTTTGTCATGACCCACAACTGTGCAAGGGGTTGGGGCGGGTCCTCCCACCCCGTGGGTGCTGGTGTGCACCCTGCTCTCCTGAAAGGCCGGCATGCCTCTCTGCCCACGAGGGAGCAACTTCTGTTTAAACCATGTGCGTGACTTTGCCTACTGGCTGCCTGCTTCCTCGATCAACTTCTACCCTGTTGTTTAATTCCCAACCTCATGTGCCTCCAACAGGGTTCAGCTGAGCACGGTCAATACTGAGGGGGTCTGAGTCTTCTGAGCCTACATATACACACGACAAAACCAAACTGGGCAATTCACCCCTAATATTTGAGAACCAACCACCTGTAGAAACAGTGCACTAAGAGCTAATACTATTTTTCCTCATTGTCCAGTGGTATTTTATTTTGGGAGAGGGTTAATTAGGTTTATTTATTTATTTTTAGAGGTTCATGGGGATTGAACCTAGGACCTCATGCATGCTAAGCACACACTCTATCACTTGAGCTATACCCTCCCCCAGTCTGGTGCTATTTTATCTTATATCAATCAATTTAACTCTTCCAATAACTCTAAGAGGTAGGTACCATTATCATCCCCATTTGACAGCTGAGGAAGTTGAGAAACAGAGAGGTTAAGTAACTCACTCAAGGCCACACAGCCAGGCAACGGTGGAGCAGGAATACCAGCCCAGGCAGTCTGGCTCCAGAGTTCACATATCTAACTGCACAGTGGACCAGCTGCTACAGATGAAGACAGCCCAGAACACAACATAAAACAGAAAAGCCCTCCTACCTTTGTGAAGATCCAAAATATATTCATTTTGTCCCATGTAGAGTGCTAAGGCTAATTTATACATGGGAGGTACATGTCTCCCCAGCCCCCTAGAGGAATTGGCTGAGTCTCTAATGCCAAAGTGAAATGAGAAAGAGGTGGAAATTCTTGAAACATGTCACACCTTGTGAATCTCTTTCACTGATCAGATCTGGGTACCCAGAGTGGCTGTGTGCATGTGTTCTGAGTGTGCAGGGGGCCCGAGTGGTCCAGGTCAGTCCCTCTGCCCCTCCACGCTCACATGCACATGGCACAGGCTAGGCTGTCTATGTGGGTCCATCTGTCTGGTCGACCAGACATCAAGGGTGTGCCCTCCTGGTGATGTGGGTCATTTGCTTTTGCAGGACCTACCTGACTTGGAAGATGTTGACACAGGCGAGTCTCTAGAAGACCAGGACAAGGTGATCTCGCGCACTTCCTGGCCATTCCACTTTCACTTCCAGCCCCTGTACTTTCACTGACAAAGCAAGTCCTTGACTCCCAAGTGGAGTGTCTTTGTGCCTGAAACATGGCATATCGCTATATTTTCACCTCACCCAAGGAAATGCCGCTCAACTCCGGAAGGTTTTACAATTAGCCACTTGGGTTTTCTTGAACAGATCTTTCAGCACTGATTTTTAATAACCATGTACTGGTACATTATTATCTGAACATCTCTGTCCTTTTGATGTATTTGTATGTTCATCTTGCAAATGTCTACAGCGACGTGTGGGCAGGGGTGGAAGGAGGGGAGGAGGAGGGAGGAGACCGTAGGAGGCATGGTGGGAAGCTCTCCCACATTGTCCTGACCCTCCTCCCTCGGCACGAGTGAGAGCCTGGGAGAGCCAGCCCTGGGGTCCCGGAGGAGAGGGAAGCCTAAGACATCATCTCAGTGCAGGAGCTTGTCACTGAAGGAAGGAAACCACAGTTCTGTGAGGACCTGGCTGCCAAAGCATGACTAGGTGGCTGGGTGAAGGCACAGCCAGAGGCCAAGGCTCCAAGATGAGTCAGTTTGGAGACCTGGGAGGGAGTCGGTGCAGCAGGAACAGGGTGGGCGACAGCCATACTGCACAGAGGCAGAGAGTGGAAGGAGGGTAGACTGGGCTGCAGAGCTCACAACCTCAGGGCTCAGAAGCAGCTGCCAAGGCGTGCCCATCCTGAGGCCTGACTCCTTCGGGCCTTAATGTGGCAACAGAGTGTTTTGTGATAAAAAAGCAGAATTAGCATGGTGAATTTTAAAGTGGCTACTGTGAAAACAGAAATGTTCAAATCTTTTTTCCTTCAACAGAAGATGTGCTTTCCCAAGATTACAGCCATCTCAAGCCTGAGTGATGACAGTGACCCTGAACTGGACTACACCTCACCTCCAGTGCTGGAAAATGTGCCCACGGACACCCTCTCAAATATATTTGCAATCTCCAAGGACATCTCCAGGAAGGCCGAGACGGAGGCACCCTTTACAGACATATTTAAAGTTGCAGAGAAGGACTCAGAAACCCAGAGGCAAAACACCATAGCCCCTCGCCCGCTGATTCAGGAGCTGGACGACAATGAGCCTTCAGGGGTCCCACCCCAGCTCCCAGCCTGCAAGAGAGAAGCCACACCATCGCCCAGCAGTGAGGATGAGGATGGGGACCTACTTCCAGCCTCTCCTCCAGGTAATGCCACCTTACTTTCAAGGTCACAGGGGCTGAAAGCTTTGACAGTAGGAAAGTGGACTGTGGACCACCCAAACCCAGGGCGGATGGCCACCAGGGCCTCTGCCTTAAGAATCCCATGTTCTTGGAGGAGGTCACTCACCACCTCTCCGAAGACCAGAGATGGCTGCAGACTGTTCTGCTGCTTGCCAAGCTGGGCTGAGAAGCTGCCAAGCCAACTCCTTCCCAGGTGGGCGAGCTGGCCTCACCAGGGCCACTCATGCCCTGCAGATCCCTACCACCTTGTCCAGCAGGTCTTGGCGCAGCCAGGGAACCTGCATTTCACCCCCCCCCCAATCCAGGTCCTTGGCCTTCCCAGACCAAGGCTTCTGAGGGAAGGTTCTGGAGACAGTACTGGCCAATCTCCACCCAACCTGGCACTAGGGGCCTGTGCCGGGAACAGGGAGAAGCACCTGTGGGAAAGCTGGTTGGTGCTTGCTGATAACAGGCACGCTGGGGGTGACTGTTTAGAGCTGCCTCTGGGGATCCAACTCGGGCATCTGTTGAACCCAGAGGATTCCTGGCCAGCAGCCAGGCTTCCTTCTGAAAGCTAACTCATGTGGCTAAGGCACAGGAAGACAGGAGGGGTGACCACACTTTCCAAGAACACCAAGTCACCTCCTTTCTCAATTCCTTAGGAAACAGCACTGAAAAGGAAGAAGTGTGTTCTGAGCTGGAGCCCAAGGCTGGAGAGGACCAGAGGATGCTAAATGTGGCCTGGACTGAACCTGAGGTGGCCCCTCCACTCCTGGACTAACAGGGACAGGGAGGCAGCAGCCAGGCCCTGGCCTGACACCACAGCAGGCGCAGCTCACCCTTAGCTGGGCTCCCCTTCTCTCCAAAGAGCTGCAGTTACGAGCACGCGGGCCCCGGCTCACCCCTCTGCGTGTGTGGATGGCATCATGCCCCCTGCTCTTAAAGCCTGACACCTCACCCCAATTAACTGTGGTACAAACTGTGTCGCTCTAAATGTCTCCCTTGAGCATCATAAATGTTTTAGGATCCAAGTGAGTCCCTGTGTTAGTGGATTATTTAATGTCGGAGTGATTCACTTCATCAGGTATCCCCAGAAAAGAACCACACCTCTCTTCACATGTGATCAGGAATCCAGCCCCCGCCCCAGGGTCCTGTGCAATTTCCAGGGAGTTTTTCCCCACAGGAGAGCAGACTTTCCATGGAGCCACAAAACCATGGAGGAAGAACTTTCTGTGTCGATGTCATAAACTAAACAAAGGGAAATGACTCAGCCTGAGAAACCTGCTCATTCAAAACCAAGCTCATATGACAAGTTTACTCAGTCCCTAAACATGGGGCCAAAGTGCCTCCTACGAAACATTAGATGGAGGTAGAAACTGCTTCACACACTCACACTAACCACCAGCCCGCTCTGTGGCAGCAGCACACTCCACTGTCACTGATCACGGGGAGGAGCCGGCACTGCCACCCAGTGTCGAGGGGTTCGTGTGCGGTGGGGCCCTCAGGCTGACCGAAGCCGCACTTTCAAGCACAACTGTCTGCTGGCAGGGATCCTGGTGACACTGATCTTCAGGAAGAGACTGCCATTGTCTTCTCGATGTGCCTTTGGGAGTATAAGCTACAGGAGAAACGACTGTTTTGGCGTCCTCCTTCCTCGACATAGCTCCAAATCGCTTCTGAACGTCTCCCAGTCACAATGGCCTTTGGGAAGCAGGAAGGTCCACACCCCAGAGACTGTTCTGTTTCCTGTTTCCACCATGAAAGGCACAGCTGGTCCAGGATGAGGGGCTCCCTGGAGGTGGAGGCAGCTTCCCAGGCCCTCAGAAGCCCATGCGGGGCTTCTTCCGGAGCGGCTGAGAGCCGGAGAGGATGGCTGCTTGCTGCCTGGAGAGGGTGGCCCGGACGCTGGAGGTCTGGGAGGAGGGCATGGAAGCACCCCCTGCAGTGTCTCCTCGGAGCTGCAGCTTGACAGTGCAGTCCCGGAGGGTCTGCTGCCTAGAGGAGGTGCCTCGGATGCTGGAAGTCTGGGAGGAGGGTGCAGAGGCCTCTCCTGGGGTGTCCCCTTGGAGAGGCAGTTCAGCCATGTAGTCCCGGAGAGTTTGCTGCCGCTCCGAGGGGATCCCCTCTGCCCACGGCTCCTGGGTCAACTCCTGGGAGGGCGGGGTCACTGGGGGCTGAGGCCTGGCCTCAGGAACTGTCCGGTCTGGGCTGGGAGGAGGGCTGGTGGCATCCGAGAGGTCCAAGCGGCCGCTGAGCGAGGAGAAGGTGCTGGACAGCTGAGTCCGGCGCTTGTGCCGCTTGGGCTGTTTTCCAGGCCCTGAGCTGCCACCCTGACGCCTCTCCCACCAGGCCGCCACCCGGCCTTCCCAGGCTGCCTCCAAACGCTCACTGAGCTCATCCTCAGGGCCCGGCTCGGGGGCAGGGGGCTGCTCTCTGGTTGGGAGCAAGCCCAGGTCCCTGTGCTGCAGGAGCCGCCCTTCGGCCATGGCTGTGCGGAGACCCTCTGGCACTTTCCCCTCAACCTCCCGTGACTCAAAGCTGCCCAGCAGACGGCGGTGGGAGAAGGTGGGTGCAGCCCACATCGGGGGAGCCAGAGGCACCTCTAGCAGGGTCTTCAGCCACCGGCTGCAGCGGGAAGTGGCCCGGGGGGTCCAGGAAGCCGTGGGGGCAGGAGAGTCGGGCCTGGGGTCTGCCTGGAGGTGGAGGCGCTGGTGGAAGACATCTCCAGCTGCCGAGAGTTGGAAGAGTGACAGGACTGGTGTGGAGGCAGAGGGCAGGACAGTGGCGGCCAGACCTGGAGGCAGAAGGACAATGACCCCATGGCCTAGCAGGAGTGCAGCTCCCCAAACCCATCCCCCAACCCCAGTGCACCTATAGTTGGCGCGCTCAGCCGCTCCTGCAGCCGCCACTGACTCTTGGGCTCCAGCAGGGGGAAGGCAGAGAGAGAGTTGCTCCTGGAGGGGAGAGACTGCGGGGGCCCTGCCAGCCGGGGCGTGGAGGCCCCCTCTCCTGGAGGAAGGACAGACAGCTGAGGCCTCATCCCAGATCAGCCCTGTCCACCTCCTGCCTGCCTCCCACCTGCACCCCACCCTCACCTGCGATGTGCAGCAACTGCAGCTCTCCGGCCTGGCCTGCCAGGAGCAGTGGCCGTGGGCAGCCAGGGCGGGGCGGGGGCAGCAGCTGGGCCACCACAGGAGTGGAAGAGAGGCCATGGTTCCACTTCAGCAGAGGCACCAAGGGGAGACGCTCGTCCACCAGGTAGAGCGAGAACTGGGGGCCCAGGAAGAAGATGGAAAGGAAGTGATGTAAGTGTGGGGCATGAGCGTGATGGGACAGGTCTCCCTGGGCAGGTCCTTCCAGGGCCCCGTGTGGCTCTCTGGATGAGTGCAAACCCCCAATGGATCACAGCACTCAGGACCCGCCCTGACCACCTCTCAGACTCGCCTGCCCAGCCCCCCAACAGAAGGCATTTCCTGAGCAGGCGGCACCATCCCTTGACCCAATGGCCACACTGGGAGAAGGGCTCCCAGGAGAAGCTGTCACCCAGCCCTCCCCATGCTCACCTGACCCTGGAACATAAGCTTGAGACATATCCACTAACACCCCAGGTCCTGGGGGAGGGGGGCGCAGTGAGACCTTTGAGGACCCTCAGACTTCCTCCCCTTTTCCTGACACAGGAGGGGAGACTGTCCAGCTTTGCCTACTGTTCCCTATCCTCATCTCTACCCTCTTCCTCCTTCACCTGCAGTCACCTAGGACTGTCTCCAGTGACTGAGACAGTGCGTGGCAGAGAGGAAGGAGGGAGATGCATCACCTACCTGGGTACAGACAAGGTGGAATGTGGGCTGCAGAGACTCGGGGCTGCACTCCCCCAGGTACTGGGTCAGTAGGACACGTTCCCCTTTCTGGCACGATGCTTCCGCCCCACCCCGAAAAAGCAGCAGACCACAGCCCGGCGGACCCTGGGGAGACAGCCAGGTCAGCCCTCCCACGTTCTGATGTCCATGGCACCAGCCACTGCCGGCGGCCTAAGACCCGCTGCCCTGCTGCTTGTCATGCCCTCCCCGGGGAGCACCCCGTCCTCACCTGAGTGTCGACGAGTTTCACTCCAGTGCGATCACCCACAGTCAGCACTCGAGGGTGGGCGGTGAAGTCTGCCCAACGCCAGGGAGAGGGGTCTCGGAATACAAGGGTCTCGGGGTCCTTGTGGACTTGCCGCAGCCTTGGGGAGACAGGCCAGCCGTGAGGCGGAGACGGGCTGATGCGGGGAGATGGGGCAACCCGGCCTGGGGTCCAGCACACGGGCCAAGTTCTGGGCAACTATTTGTTGGGGTGGATAGTTTTTATGGGGAAGGGGCATTACCCGTCCTGGGGGTTCCACAGACAGACAGCTCCAGAACGGCTGCAGACGGTCAGCTCTCCTGGCAGGTGAGGGCTACAGGGCACACATGTGATTAATGTTGGGTCACTCCCTTCCCCGAGGCCCATCTCCTCACACACCAGCCCCACTGAAGCGCCTCACCTGAGGCTGATCCCGGTGGCCCCCTTCTCAACCTGCAGCACCTGGAGAGGGGCCAGATGCCCTGGCTTACCGACCTTCCACAGTGCACAGTGGTAGTCAGAGCGGACTGCCAGCAGAGCTGAGGGACAGAGAAGGTCAGGGTCATGGTCAGGCAGCAAGTCAGTCAGCAGGGGACGGAGGTGTCTATGGGCCTTACCTTCTCCCTGCACAGTGCGGGTCACCACCTGCCGGACAGGTCCGCGGAGCTGGATGTGGCCAGGGTCCCCGAGAACCCGGGGCTCACTGCCTGGGGTCAGACTGACCTTTTGGAAATCTGGGCCTCTTGCTAAGGAGAAGGTCATGAGATCTGCTCACTTAAGCCCCCCAACTTCCTGCCCATCCCCGGAACCCGTCCAGTGAGGAAGGATACACAGCCTGTCCAGGGCGCCTCCTGCAGGGTAGACCAGCTGCCCGGCCCCGGGCGTCCTGCCAGGCACCCAGGCCAGTGCACCCCCAGTGAAGGCGTCGTCCAGGAGCAGCTGCTCCCACCGTGCTGCCAGCTCCTCCTGTAGCAGCTCTCCCAGGAGGCTCGCCAGCGATGTAGCCAGGACGGGGCCCCCAAGGATGGAGAAACGGCGCTGTCGGTAGCTGAGGTAAGCCCAGGGACAACTACAGGTGAAAGGACAGCAGGTGCGTCAGGCTATGGGTGATGGGGAGGAGGCCTGGGTACCATCCCAAGGGAGGCCAGCTGTAGTAGACACGTTTTTTAATCAACCTAGAAATTTCTGCTTTGAGAAATCACCCCACCCTATCTATTCTTGCGATGCAGGGGCATTCACATGACCCAGATCTAGCCACTGAGAGGAGCCCACCTTTGCCCCTGGCCACAGTGATCGGCTCACGATGGGCATGACACCCAAGCCAAGCCAACCACACACTTCCCAGGACTTCTGCTGGTACCTCAGGAAGGATACTAGTCCTTTCCTTGGAATCATAAACCAGCTTGCTGCCACTTGGAAACAGTCTGTCTAGGAATTAAGCCAGGCAGAGACAAGTGGATGAGAAAATAAAGAGCCTGGTTAACATCTGAACACCTGGATGCAGCTATGGCTGCAGTCCATGAACTCATATTCCTTCTTCCCCTCCACTATTGTGTGGTGGTGGTGTGGAGGCAGTTGTGAGGGATGCCCTGGCTTCTTCCACATCCCCTCCACCAGCTAGGCCTGCCCATCCCATCCTTTCTCACTAGCCACTTGCCCCCAGGGCTGGTGTCCACCGAGGTCCTGGAGTAGCCTCTTCACACTGACCACTGTCTTCTTCTTAGAGCGACTCTGCGTGGAAAGGCCTTGTCAAGCTCACACGCCCCAGGGCTCACCCCAGCATGAAGTGGGGCACCCCCTCCCCTGGCTAGCCAGGGCTTACTCACCTGAGCTCCTTCCAGTTTGAAATTCTCTAGCATCAGCTTCCCCAGGGGTGCAAAGGCGATATCCCCATGGTCCCACAGGAACTGGCTGAGCTGTGGGAGGAGAGGAGCCAGGTCACTAAGCCCCGCACCCGCCACACCACATTGTCTACCATGGGGCCACTTACCTGCTCAGTAACGTCCAGCACAGCGCGGGGCTGTCTTCGGAAGTGGTAGCCTCCCCGGAAAAGCAGATCCCGGGCAGTCAAGCCAGGGTCCCAGGGATCTAAGGGAAGAGTGAGGTTGGAGAAGGGCCCAGAGTGGGGCCAGTTGTCTCAAGTGACTGGAGGTGTCAAGGACCCCGTGAATGTGGAAGGAATCAGCAGGGAGAGAAACGGTCTTGGGGTGGGGGGTCCTTGGGGACCAAGATCCTTACCGGGACCAGGAGGCAGCAAAGGAAGGGGCCCAGGGGTGTCTGGCTCCCAGAGCAGGCCCTTCGCCAAATGTGGAGCCCCGTTCTGAGGAAACACAACCATGATCGTACGGTAACAGGGAGTGCAAGTCTTGTCACCAGCACTTGTCTTTTATTAACTCATTCAACCATCACAAGGTGACTGCCAAACTGGTCTGATAGTCACCGCTATTTTTTTGATGAAGAAAATGGAAGCAGAGAAAGGCTGTCCCTTGTCCCAGCCAACAGCCAGGAAAATGAATCTGAACCTAGGCAGCCTGACTCCTGTCTGTGCTTTTGACCTCCAGGCTTCATTGGCTCTCAAAGGCGCCCCCACGCCATCACCGGCCAACCCGAATCCAATTTGTCTCACTTCCACTCAGGGCAGACCATGCGGTCACTTACTTGGGACACCCAGAGGCTGCACTGCTCCCACTGAGAGGCTCAGCTCAACACTGGGGGATGGAAGAGGCGGCAAGCTAGGCTCCTGGAGGGGCCGATTTGATGCAATCCCCTCTCTCTCAAGGACGCCCCACCCCCAACAATAGTGACTTTTAATTCTCTCACACACTTGCCTCTGCCTGGGGTAATCCTCAGCCAGCCTGTCTCCAAGTGGCAGCCAGATGGCTTAGGCTTCCAGAGAAAGAGTGGGTGTCCTTCGTGTCCCAGGAAGTCTCCCCTCCCATCCCCACCTCACCCCACTCTGCTGGTTCGGCATGCTCTGGTTTCACTCAGAGCCATTCCTACACTTTGTAAGGATTTTATCCTCAGGTCTGTTCACTTGGCTACTCTCACTCACCCAACTCTGTTCGATGGGGCAGGGAGTGCATCTGATGACTTACTCACTGTGGATTTCCAGGGCCTGATAAGGCACATAACAGAGTAGGGGCTGTTCAGTGAGTATTTGTTGAACAAATAGAGGAAGGAAAGATGGGGGGAGAGGAAGGCAGGAAAGAGCAAGCCAGCAGCTCTCGCTCAGTAAACACTCTATGGATACTGGGCGCCCCAGGTCCCCAAAAAAGGGGACTCTGACTCAGCCTGTGTCTTAGCAGATTTGTGCTAATGCCACCCAACCTGTACTCCTGCCAACTGTGAGAATGCTAGGGAAGGGGGTGCCAAGCAGAGGCATCCACCCTGGAGCCACCAGGGCTCTCCTGCCATTCTCACCTCAGAGGCTTGGGGTGGGGACTCTGGTAGGGTTAGCGCATCTCTCCAGCTGCACATGAAGGACACATCAGGGACATCGCTCAGACCAAGGGGACCAGTCATAAACAACGAGGGCGGGAGGGAGCTGGGGAAGTCCATCCTGGAAAACAGGAATGACAAGTTACCCTGGCCTCGCTCAGAGGCCTGACACTGACAACAGCTTCCCAGATTTCTGGGAGACTGAAAAGTGCCCCAAGAGGAGTATTATTTCTTCGAGGTACGAGATAATAAAGAACAAATGAACATGTAGCTTAATGCCTGACAGTAGTGAGTGCTATATTCAAAGCAACCAACCAGCAGGGAGTGAGGGGATAGCGATGGCCGAGGGTGTGGTTTTAGCAGTGCAAGCCAGGGAAGCCTTGTTGAGCAGGTGGCATTCGGCACAACCTAAGTCTAAAGATGGAGAGAACCATTCCAACCGCTGGGAAGATGGTGCCCAGCAGAGTGAACAGCATGCACAAAAGTTCTGGGGCAGGAAGTCTGAGAAACAAATGGGCAGCCACAGAATGAACAAGGAGATGAGTGACAGGGGACGAGGTCAGGGAGAGGGAGAGGGGTCAGCTTCCCTCCCGTTCTTATGTATTGTATTACAAGACACATTCTTAGACTACACGCCCTACACTCTAGGCTACACTCCCGAGACAAACTCAAGTTCCTCAAAGCCAGGGGTGAGTCTTCCCATTGTCAGGTACAGTATTTTCCAAAAAAATGCAATGGACCGTGTGTTGAATAATAATAAATCTACATCACTGCAGAGCCCTTTCACACTAACTCTCCACTTAGAATGAATGCCATTGCCCTTCCTATCCACCTACAAAATCCTACTCATTCTTTAGGTTTTGAGTCAGGAAGCCTCTCCCAGTTTCCCCATCCCTATCCCACAACACCTTGCATCATTCCTCCAGAGCACACGTTAGAATGTGTGACTGGATATTTAAAAATGAAGCTACTTGATTCCAAACTGCTCTAATAATACCACTGGGGAGGAACCTTTATCCCCAATGCCTTGATATTTGCTACCTGGTAACAATACATATAAACTGAAAGAACAAATCCAGGAGTTAAGGAATGAGAGGAGAAAGGAACAAATAGCCTCAAACAAACGCAGACGGGCTGAGGGCTCCGGTGGAGAGCCACGACTTCAGAGAAGCCCCTACACGAGACAGCCTCGACTTCCTACCCTCTCTCTGGGCTCTCCATGCCCCTTTAGAACGCCAAGGCGGCAAGGGTCTGCATGAATGCCAGGCCAGTCACGTCAAAAAGCGTGCCTGCCAGGGGATGGGAGTGGGGTCCGGACCGCCCTTCCCCTCGTACATCCCCTCTGCCACGTCCTCCCCGCCCACCTCTTCCCGCTCAACCTCCAGGCCCCAGCATTTCAACCCAACAACAGCAGCAGAGGTCTCCCATTAAGCGCTGTGTGGTTGCTACCACCCTTTCCATTGGTGAGATCCTCACCACTCCATGAGCTGGCGGCTGCTAACAACCCACTTCGCAGATTTTGGGCGACTTGTCCCAAAGCTACACAGCTTGGGGCCCGTGGACCTGAGTAGAGGGACCCGCCTCTCCATCCCGTCCGGGAGGCGCGCGCACTTACGTGGTTCGTGCCGAGCGGTGCTCGTCTGGGAAACGGACCTCCGAGTGACGCTTTCCAGATCCTCGTGCCACAGGTGAGCTCAAAAGCGGTACCCTAGCTCCAGCGCCTTCTGCAGGCCGATCCCACAACCACCCGTCTTCCGGGCTGTGCCGGAAATGCGCCCTCTAAGGCAGGAACTCCCGCCTCTCAGCCTGGCCTCTTGGGCGCCCCAGAGCGCCACCTCCCGGGCGGAGGTGAAATCGGAGTGGAGGCGGCGCTGTGGGCCGTAGAAATAAAATCGCATCCAATCCCAATAGTGAAGTCCAGGTTGACGGGAGTGCGAACCCCATCTCTGCTTAACGACCTTACTGTTTTACAGGATTGTTGTGAGTATTAATTCACTCAGAAAACACCGAGTACCTACTATGAGCCAGGTTACTGTGTCAGTCAGTAGGAATTCTACTGATCATCCTTATATCCTATGAAGCAGGCTTTACAAACAGGGGTACAGGTACTCTTGGGGGTGCATGAGACTTTCCCAGTGGTCAGGCAAAATAGCTTTAGGCACTGGTTCTCAAATCCTAGAGTGCATCAGAGTCACCTGAAGGATGTATTAAAACAGAGTTTCTGAGTCAGTGAGCCTGGAGTGGGGCCTAATCATTTGTATTCCTAAATTCCCAGGTGATGCTGATTCTGCTTGTCTTGGGGAGCCACGCTTTAAGAACCACTGTGCGTTAATAAATATTACCATTATCCAGCCCAGTAGTTTTCAAACTTAAGTGTGCATCAGAATCCCCTAGAGGGTTTGTTATAACCGTTTGCTGGACCCCAACCCCAGAATTTTCTGGTTCAGTAGGCCTGGGATGTGATCCAAGGATTTGCATTTCTAATGAGTTCCCAGTGATGCTGATGCTGCTGGTCCAGTCACCACCCTTTGAGAACCATTATCTTAAGGAATCAATTTCCAAATTCTCAGCCTCCATCTATATAGATTTTATCTGGGAGATACTTGGAATCAGACAGCTCTCCTTTCCTATCTCCTCGTTCACAATCGCTTTGTTCCCCTCTGTGGAGTGTTGTTGCCCGAGATGAGTGCTGAACAAGGGGGCAATTCCAAAAAGAATTCCTTCAGCAGAAAGTGAAAAGCATGTTCAGTAACAAGTATTGATGGAAGGGTTCAAGAGAGGGGCTCTTGGGGGCTGATAATATTATGTTCATTCATCTATGTGCTGATTATATGGGTGTGTTCAGTGCATGAAAATTCATTGAACGATCTGTGTACTTTTCTGTGTGTATGCTATACTTCAATAAAGAGTCTTTTTAAAAGGAAAAAAAAAGAAGAAGTGAGCTGTAACACTTTGTTATTGAGAGTTCAACCTCTAGGTTAACCTTCTCAGCTACCTTTGAAATAAAATTCAGAAGTCACTCTGTGAGGGCAGGAATTCTTCTGTCTATGTTGGTCACAGACATATCCCAAACAGCAAGAAGAGGGGATGCTGATGCATATTTGAATCAGTGGAAGGGGGAATGAAATGAGATAGTCCCTCTGAGAAAATATCAACACATTTATTTAAATTGAAAACAAAAATGAAATTAGACTGTGTTTCTGATAGGAAGCAATTCCACTTTAGCTGAGTGCTTTGACTGTGAGGGTAAGCTTTGCCAATTAAATCATTTGGAGAGCATTTTTCATAAACAGAATAAGCTAAGTCTGCATCTCCATGGTTTTGGTGAAAATATATTGGAAAGATGATTATAATATATACTAAATCAGAAATTGCACCTTTTGTAACTACTTAAACTTGTGACTAAAACACTTGGGCTATACAGGTTTTCAAAATTATTTTAGGGGTATGGATGCCAAAAGAGTTGAAGGCCATTTGTATTAGTTTCATATTGCTGCTGTAACAAATCAGCACGAATTTAATGGCTTTAGACAACATAATATCATGCATTTCTGGAGATCAGAAGCCTGAAATGGGTCTCACTGGGCTAAAATCAAGGTGTCAGTAGGGCCATGTTCCTTTCTGGAGACTGTAGGGTAGAGGTGTTTTTGTTTTTGTTTTTGTTTTTGTTTCATTTTTTGCCTTTTCCAGCTTCTGAAAGCTGCCTGCATTCCTTGGCTCTGGCCTTCTTCCATCTTCAAAGGCAGGAGCAGCCAGTTGAATCTTTCTCGTGATGCCGTATCTCTGATTCGGAGTCTTGTTTCTTCCTCATTTAAGGACACTTGTGATTACACTGGGCCCACCCAGATAATCCAAGATCATCTTCCCCTCTTAAACACGACTGATTAGAAACCTTAATTCCACCTGCATACATAATTCCCCCTTGCCATATGACATAACCTATTCATAGGCCATAGCAATCAGGATGTGGACATCTTTGGGGGACCATTATTTTGCCTACCACACCACTACACATCACCCATTCAGCTTCTGCACAGAGAGGCCAATTCCATTTCTTCCTTCCTTCTTTCCTTTCTATAAACAAGCTGTTAGGTTTCCTCTTGTTACTAAAATAAACTTAACATGCTATAAAAAACCAAGTCTTAAGTGTACACTCATCAAGCTTTTACATACATATAAACCCACAAAACCACCACCCAGATCAAGACCGAGAACATTTCCATCACTCCAGAAAATTCTCTGATGCCACTTCCCAGTCAATGCCTCCTTGAAGAAGTAACCATGATTCTGACTCATTACCACATTAATTTTGCTGCCTCAAGAACTTTATATAAATAGAATCATGCAGAACATAGTCTTTTTAGTCCAGCTTCTTTCACTCAACATGCACATGCAATTCCCTATATTGTGCAAGAAACAGTGATTTGTTTCCTTTTAAAAGAAATTTTTATTACTTAGTAACAGTCCGTGGTATGAATATATCACTGTTCCAACAGTGTCCTGTTGGTGATGTTTCTGGGTTTGGCAACTCTGGTTAAGTCTGTATGCCATCATTCCATTTCTGAACACCTGCTATGCTGTCCCTCTACTAGGTGTAATTCTGGTTGTTGGGCTACACATACCAAAAAAACCGGAATTGTGCATCCTGATGCCAGTCTTTAGAACATTTGAGAGGTTGAATCTATCCTGCCTCCCACACCTGCTCTTCCCAAGTCAAATGTTACTGGTTCTACCAATTGCTCCTCATATGCCTCTGTATCCACACTGCCCCAATCCTGGTTAGTGTTTTCAGACCAAAGGTAGCAATCTGCTGCAGCAGCAGCAGTAACAGTGACAAAACTTGCAGGCTGTGAACTGAGTAATCAGTCATGTGTTCCCTGGCTCTTAAAGACTCTTAAAAGACTCTTAAGATTTCGGCCACCTTCAAGCAATTGTGTTGCATTATTGCAAGCCATATGTAAATTGTCTTCATCCCTAACTTCATTTTATTTCTGTTGTTTCTCCTTCATCCTTAGTCCCTCATCTTAAAGAATTGCCATCTTGCGATATTTTTATGAGCCAATCCAAGATCCCTTATGGAAAAAAAAGGGTGGGGACAGGGTACCAAATGACAGATTTTAACTAGAGCACACTTAGAGCACGTATGTTGGCTTCAGGAGGGTCTACAGTTAATAGTTTTTAAATGTAGGTCCTAAAGATTCTGTGCAGTTGGTGCAATTGAGAACACCTTCCTTTATCGAACGAGAATCGCCACCCCACCCCGCCCGGCTCAATTAAGCAGCTGAGGGAGGGCTGGCATAATGGGGTGTGCTTTGTGGGGCGTCTTAGACAGCAGCAGGGGTGAGATGCTAGATTTGCCTCCCCAGGACCACACAAGGGTGGAAAAGAGGCTGATGGGATCACCTGGTCCCCCCCCCAACCTCGCACCCGAAGCCCCGCCCCAGAAGTAGGATACTGATCAGGGGCCACTCAATCCACATTTGGACTGTGGCTGACTGGGAGACTGGCCTTCCATTGGCTGGGCACACCGTCTGCCCCGGCTTTGTGGGCTCCCATTGGCTAGCAGGGAGGTAGGGGTGGAGCTTGCCTTGCACTGTCTGTTGTGCCACGTGCTCCCCACGGATGAGCCCACCCTTGCGCATAAAAGGGCGCAGGTAGCGTGAGAACTTGCCCACTGTTGCCTCGGCCCTCGCGTCCTCATGGCTTCTCCAGCCAGCGCAGCCCCGAGCACAGACGACGGTGGTCGCAGAAAGCCCCGCCTGGCGGCGTCATTGCAGATCAACCCTGGGCCCAGCCCCTGGAAGCCCTTAGCCAGCCTGGGCCAAGACCTCTGGGAGCCCGTGCCCACCCCCAATGTGGAGGACAATGAGCAAGGCGGGCAGCTCCAGGCCTCCACGGCAGGAGATGGTGGGCCTGGGGCAGGGGCCGAAGTAGAGGCAGCCCCAGCACGGGAAGACGCGGGGGGAAGGATGGGGAGGTCCCCGAGGGTCTCTGTCCTGCCCACAGGGTCCGTCGGGGAATTCCCTATGGTGGCCAGACAGCTGGGCCTGCAGCTCAAAGACCCACCGCCAGACCAGGCCGTGGCCTTGCTAGCTCAGCACGCGGCCAGTCTGGGCGTCTCTCTGATCTTCCGTGAGGACAAAACAACAGGTGAGGCCTAGTGGGCTGGGACTGCAGCACACCATGGGCTGACCCCAAATGAAGAGAGGAGGACTGTGAGCTGGGCCCTAACCTGCTGTGATTAGCCTGGTGCTAGGAGCACCAGGTACACCAGACATGGAACTGGCAGATCATGGCAGGGTCCATCCACATCTGAAGCTTGGTTTGCTTAGAGGACCTGCCTCAAACTACCCAGCCTTTCAGCAGGCTTTTTTGAGGGCCAGTTACATGTAATTACAGTTGCCATGCCAGCTGTAATTGGAGAGGAGACAGGTGAGTGAGAGCCAGTTCCCGATTTAAAGATGTTATCAAACACAGTTTGGTAATGACAACACTACGTAGAGATATCATAATTACTGTGCCCCGACTGCACCCCCTACCCAGACAGACAGACAGAGCAATACACCAGGGCCTGAATTCAGGTTTCCAATCTTAAAACAGCACATTCCCTGCTTCGAAGGAGGTAGCAAGAGAATCATTCCTCAAGTTTTTGGGAGGGTTTGTGAAACTACCTAGGAGAACCCTAACTGAATAGCTCAAAAAACGATAATGCATTTAAAACTCAACCTGGGATTTGTTTTAATCAGGTGTTGTA